CCACAGACCCTTAGCCCCACTGGATAGCCTCAGTCTGGAGACCCTTAAAGTCCCAGAGAGCCTTTCTTCTTTTTTTTAAATAGAAATCTTTTATTTAATAAATATAAATTTCAAAAGTACAACTTTTGGATTATAGAGGTTCTTCCCCATCCCTATACCCATCTTCCCACCCGCAAACCATCCTATCTCCTACTCCCTCTCTAATCCCATTCTTCATTAAGATTCATTTTTAATTATCTTTATATACAGAAGATCAACTCTATGCTGAGTAAAGATTTCAACAGTTTACACCTACAAAGACACACAAAGTATAAAGTACTGTTTGAAGAACTAGTTTTACTGTTAATTCTCATAGTACAGCACATTAAGGACAGAGGTCCTACATGGGGAGTAAGTGCACAGTGACTCCTGTTGTTGATTTAACAATTGACACTCTTATTTATGATGTCAGTAATCACCCGAGGCTCTTGTCATAAGCTGCCAAGGCTATGGAAGCCTCTTGAATTCACAAACTCCAACCTTAGACAAGGCCATAAGCAAAGTGGAAGTTCTTTCCTCCCTTCAGAGAAAGGTACCTCCTTCTTTGATGACCTGTTCTTTCCACTGGGATCTCACAGAGATCTTTCATTTAGGTCATTTGTTTTTTTTTGTTGCCACGGTGTCTCAGCTTTCCATGTTTGAGAATCTCTCAGGCTTTTTAGCTGGATCTGAATGCCTTTAGGGCTGATTCTGAGGCCAGAATGCTGTTTAGGGCTTTTGTCATTCTATGAGTCTGCTCTATATCCCGCTTCCCGGGTTGGATCGTTCCCTCCTTTTTAATGCTATCAAGTATTATTAGCAGACAGTGGTCTTATTTATGTGATCCCTTTGACACTTAATCCTATCTTTATGATCAGTTATGAACTTAAACTGATCACTTTAACTAGTAAGATGGTATTGGTATCTGCCAACTTAATGGGATTTGGATTCCCATGGCAAGTTTTTAGCTTTCTTTAGGGGTAAGTCTGAGGGAGCATGTGCCAAACTATATATCTTCTCTCTCTCTTATTCTCTTATTTTTAACAGGGATCAATTTTCAGTTGGGTTTAAACACCTAAGAATAATTCTGTGTTAATTAAGGAGTTCAACCAATGGCATTAAGTAGAAAAAGAAAATAAATAAAATAAATAAAAAGAATAAAACAGTAAGCTGTTCCTCAACAGTCAGGATAAGGGCTGATCAAGTCACTGCTTATCATAGTGTCAGTTTCACTTCTACAGGTTTCCTTTGAGGTGCTCAGTTAGTTGTCACAGATCAGGGAGAACATATGATATTTGTCCCTTTGGGACTGGCTTATTTCACTAAGCATGATGTTTTCCAGATTCCTCCACTTTGTTGCAAATGACCAAATTTCATTTTTTTAAAAGCTGTTTAGTGTTCCATAGAGTACACAGCCCATAATTTCTTTATCCAATCTTCTGTTGATGGGCATTTAGGTTGATTCCATGTCTTAGCTATTGTGAATTGAGCTGCAATAAACATTGAAGTGCAGATAGCTCTTTTAATTGCCAATTTAATTTCCCTTGGGTAAATTCCGAGGAGTGGGATGGCTGGGTCGTGTGGTAGGGCTATATTCAAATTTCTGTGGTATCTCCAAACTGTCTTCCATAGTGGCCTTACCAGTTTACATTCCCACCAACAGTGGATTAGTGTGCCTTTTTCCCCACATCCTCGCCAGCATCTGTTGTTAGTTGATTTCTGTATGTGAGGTGAAACCTCATTGTGGTTTTGATTTGCATTTCTCTGACAGCTAGTGATCCTGAACATGTTTTCATGTATATGTTGGCCATGTGGATTTCCTCTTTTGAAAAATGCCTATTTAGGTCCTTGGCCCATCTTTTAACTGGGTTGTTTGTTTTGTTGTTTTGGAGTTTCTTGATCACTTTGTAGATTCTGGTTATTAATCCTTTATCGGTTGCATAGTTTGCAAATAATTTCTCCCATTCTGTGGGTTGCCTCTTCACTTTCTTGACTGTTTCTTTTGCAGTATAAAAACTTCTCAATTTGATGTAATCCCATTTGATAATTTTGGCTTTGACTGTGCCTCTGGGCTTTTTTCCAAGAAGTCTTACCTGTGCCTATATCTTGCAGGGTTTTTCCGATGTTCTCTAATAATTTGATAGTGTCGGGTCATAGAAATAGATTTTTAATCCATGTTGAGTGGATTTTTGTGTAAGGTGTAAGGTAGAGCTCTTGCTTCATACTTCTGCATGTGGAAATCCAGTTTTCCCAGCACCATTTGTTGAAGAGACTGTCTTTACTCCAGAAATTGGTTTTAGCTCCTTTATCAAATATAAATTGGTTGTAGATGTTTGGATTGATTTCTGATGTTTCTATTCTGTTGCATTGGTCTATCTATCTGTTTCTGTACCAGTATCATGCTATTTTGATTATAACTGCCCTGTAGTATGTCTTGAAATATGGTATTGTGATGCCTCCAGCTCTGTTTTTGTTGTCCAAGATTGCTTTAGCTATTCGACGTCTTCTATGCCTTCTATTTCTTTAAAGTTTTGTAGTTCTCATCATAGAGATCTTTAACGTCCTTGGTTAAGTTTATTCCAAAGTATTTGATTGTTTTTGAAGCTATTGTATATGGCATTGATCTTAGAAGTTCTTTCTCAGCCATGGCATTGTCCGTGTATACAAAGGCTGTTGATTTTTGTGCATTGATTTTATATCCTGCTACTTTGCCAAACTCTTCTATGAGTTCCAATAGTCTCTTAGTAGAGTTCTTTGGATCCCCTAAATAAAGAATCGTATCTGCTGCAAAGAAGGATAGTTTGACTTCTTCCTTGCAATTTGTATCCCTTTAATTTCTTTTTCTTGCCTAATGGCTCCCCAGAGATCCTTTCAGAGTCCACAAAGTGAATGCTGTTTTAAAGAATAGTAATACTTTGTCTTTTTCACTGCATTGGCTTTTGCACTGAGGGGAAAGATGCGTGCCTTACCGTGGACCAAGACTGTGGCACCCAGCTGTACCCATACAGTGAGGAATTCCAGTGTAACCTATAAAGACTTTGAAACAGATATTTGCCTTGTGAAATCTGAACCTTGAGGATCTTTTTATTTTGCTCTGCATCAAAAAGTGACAGTAGGCAGAAATCTCTTGGCTGCGCAGTGAGATATGACTTGTTACCTCAAGAAAGCACTTAAGGGCTGGGTGTTTGGCACAGAAGTTAAGTTGCTGCTTGGGATGCCCACATGCCGTACTTAAGTGACTGCCTCTCCTTCCAGTTGCAGCTTCCTGCTAATGCAGACCCTGGGAGGCCATGGTGATGGCCCAAGTAGTTGGGTCCCTGCCACCCAGAGGGAGTTGTTGACTGAGTTCCAGGCTCCTGGCTTTACCTGGTCCAGCCCAGGTTGTGGGCATTTAGGAACTGAACCAGTGGGTGGGTGGTATCTCTGTCTCTGTCTCTATCACTCTGCCTTTCAAATAAAAGTAAAGGACTTATGAGCTGAAGTTAGCTACTTTTTCCTGGGACACAGTTTTTACTTGGGGGGCGGGGATGACTGACAAGCGTGGTATTCTTCACATGTGGGTTTTCGTTAGGCACTTTCTTGAAAGTCAGTGAAGTAGGCCTGGGGCCGGCTCTGTGGCTCTGTGGGTTAAAGCCGCTGTTTGCGATGCTGGCATCCTATATGGGTGCCAGTTCTAGTCCAGGCTGCTCCACTTCCAGTCTAGCTTCCTGCTAATGGCCTGGGAAAGCAGTAGAGGGTGGCCTGAGGAGGATGGGAGACCTAGAGGAAGCTCCTAGCTCCTGGCTTTGGTCTGGCCCAGCCCCAGTCATTGCAGCCGTTTGGGGGAGTGAACCAGTAAATGGAAGATCTCTTTAGGGCGCCCACATCCTATATCCCAGTGCCTGGGTTTGAGTTCCACCTCTGGTTCTGATCCAGCTTCCAGCTGATGGGCAGCCTGGGAGGCAGAAAATGATGGCTCAAGTACTTGCATCCCTGCAAATCACACGGGAGGCCCAGAGGGAGTTCTGGGCTCCTGGCTTTTGCTTAACTCAGCCTTGGCTATTGCAGGAATATGGGGGCTGAACCTGCAGGTGCAAGATCTCTCTCTTTCTCGCGCTCTTTCTCTTTCTCTCTGCTTTTTGAATAAGTAAAAAATATTTCAATAAACTTTCAGGGAAAGACAAAATGTCAGAAAACTTAAATGATCGAATTGGCTCTTATTAGCCACTCATGAATCAGGTAGCATCCTTACTGAGGGTGGAGACAGGAGGCACTGTGGTGGGAAGGCCTGTGTGGTTGTGATCCCAGGCTGCCTGCAGCCATGTTTCCTACTATAAGGAGAAAGCAAGTAGCTGTAGTAGAAATGAAATCAGTAGGCAGAGAGGAACAGAGAGACTAGGGACAGGGGGAGAGAGGGAGAGCAGGAGAAAGGGCATGAGAAACCTGTATCTAGCAGTACCTCTGTCCTTCTGCTAGTTTGGCTGCCAGATGGCCACAACAACTAGGGCTGGGCCAGGCTAAAGCCAGGAGCCTGCAACGTCATCCGGTTCTCCCACGTGAGTGTCAGGGGCCCTAATGTTGCACCATTTTCCACTGCTTTTCCCAAGCAATTAACAGGGAGCTGGATCAGAAGTGGAGCAGCTGGGACTCAAACCACTGCCCAAATGCAAATGCAGGCAGCACAGGCAGTGGCTTTACCTGCTATGCTACAACACCGGCCCCATATTTTTTTTCTTATAAGAAAATCAGTAATCACATTTCACAATGAGTTTTCGCATTTAATATATATGTAAGTTTAAAAGCTGTAGATTATCCCTAGAATTAACTATAAATTTAAAATCCTTTCTCTTACCTGTTGTATATTAGGCTTATTATAATACTGAAGTTGTTATAACTCCAGGGGTATCTGTTTTTCTTATTCATTCCATTTGTGTGTCTTAAGCCAATGCATTGCATTTAAAGTAAAACCTGTGGATCTTAAGTAAATCATTTTATTCTTCCAGGAAAAATCTTCTGAAACTAGATCAACTAAAAAGAAAATTCCAAGGGATTATGCAGAATGGGATAAGTATGTTTTGTGTTTCTCTACATAAAATTGGCCACTGAAAAATTCTCTACCATAAAACACTTTCATAACTTCTTAAATAATATTATAAACTTTAAAATATTCAGGGTACTAGATTAGTTTAGCAGAATGCCAAGAATCTCTTGTCTAAGCACTCTGGTCTTATTTTTTTCATTAAATAAAAACCTACATTCCATTTTAAAAAAATATTTTGAAAGGCAGAATTAGAGGGAGAAAAGAGAGGTCTTCCATCTGCTGGTTTGCTCCCCAAATGGCCACAGTGACTGAAACTGAGCCTATCTAAAGCCAGAGGCCAGGAGCTTCTTCCGGGTCTCCCACCTGGGTACAGGGGTCCAAGTACTTGGGCCATCCTCCACTGCTTTCCCAGGATCATTAGCAGAGAGCTGGATTAAAAGTGGAGCAGCTGGAACTTGAACCAGTGCCCATATAGGATGCTGGCATTGCAGGCGGCAGCTTAACCCACTATGCTATAGTGCCAGCCCCAAAGCTACATTCTTTATTATTGATATAAATAACTAATGGAACCTTTATAGTCATCTAAAACAGTGCAAAAATTTTAGATTGAGAAAAATTAGTCACAATTTTAATAACAAAGTTGTGAACAGTTAGTTCTGATTAATATATAAGACCTCACTTGATTGCATATTTTTGCTTTTTAATGCCAATGACTTTTTAAAAATATTTATTTATTTGAAAGGCAGAGTTAGAGAGAGAGAGAGAGAGAGAGAGAGAGAGAGAGATCTTCTATCACCTGGTTCACTCCCCAAACGGCTGTTAAGAGCTGGAGCTGGGCTGATCTGAAGCCAGGAGCCAGGAACTTCTTCCAGGTCTCCCATGTGGGTGCAGGGGCCATCTTCCACTGCTTTCTACAGGTGCATTAACAGGGAGCTGGATTGGAAGTGGAGCAGCGGGGACTTGAATTTGCGCCCATATTGGATTCTGGCACCGTAGGTGGTAGCTTTACCCAGTACACCACAGTGCTGGCCCCAATGCCAATGACTTTTTTTAAAAAAGGATTTATTTATTTCAAAGGCAGAGTTACAGAGAGGTAGAGACAGAGGCCTTCCATCTATTCGTTTGCTCCCCAAATAGTCCCAATGGCTAGGGCTGGGCCAAGCTGAAGCAAGGAGTCAAGAACTCTATCCAGGTCTCTCCCATAGATGGCAGGGGCTCAAGTACTGGGGCTGTCATCTGATATTTTCCCAGGCACATTAGCAGGGAGCTGGATGGGAAGTGGAGTACCCAGGACTTAAACTGGTGCCCATTATGGGATGCTGGCATTGCAGGTGGCGGCTTTGCCTGCTGCGCCACAATGCTGGCCCCAGATTGCATGTTTGCTTAAGAGAGAATGCAGATGACTTAACCTAGTATGCATTTCTGGAAATGTATCCAAAGGCATGGTACAGATGGAGCTTCCCTAATGTGAAAATCTGAAACCCGAAATTTTTAAAGCACTGACATGGTACGGTAAGAGGAGCGTTCCACACCATGCAACTTTGGCATAAAGTTACCTTAGGCTATGTGATTAGGTATGAAACAAAACATTTCATGTCTAGACCTACGTCCCATCCCCAGGATATACATTATGTATGTGCAAATATTGCAAAATCTGAAAAAAGTCTGAAACACTCTGGTGCCAAACATTTCAAATAAAGGATACTCTTCCTATAATACAAATAAAAAAAATCAATAAGAAGTTTTCTTGTTTGTATTTTACTCGTCCCACTTTTTGTTTTTCTTTATTTCAAGATTTGATGTGGAAAAGGAATGTTCAAAAATCGATGAAGATCACAAAGAAAAGATTGTTGTTGACAATAGGGCACATCTGTCTAAAATTGAGACAAGGATAGATACATCAGGTAATTGGGGAACATAGGAGTCGTTTAGCGGTCTTTACATTTCTTGAGTTACAATAGAAGCTGTCAACCTAGAAAACATTCTCTTGAGTGCTGCAGATTCCCATTAAAAGTTTATGGAGTTTTATAGAATTTTCTCCCAGAATTTACTACCCCTAAATACACTCATTTCTTTTTAGCTACCTAGTTTTATGAAATAGTTAAAATATTTAAATGTAATAAGACTACCAAATATTAACCTATCTATAGGTTTCTATTTCAAAATATAGACCAATTTTTCATATGGTATATCATTTGTTTCTATTCCTTTTTTTTAATATTCTTTTTCCTCCAAGTTCCCAAATTTTCTTATTTTTGCCTCAAAACAAAGAGATGAGAGCTTGTTTTCATTTGAAGTCCATAGAGGACCTTTCAGGCAAAACAGAACCAACTATAAAACCATTCTAAATCCTCAAAAATTGTGAATGATTAACAAAAGAAAAATATTCCTAAATTTTGGGTTTTGTTTATTTTATGATTTTCTGCTTCTGTTACAATAAGCACTCTTGGGTTTAAACTTTAAAAAAATTATATTAAATGTTATTTTCACATAGAGCAATTATAAAACAAATTTAGCAAGACTTCGAGATATAAACCTACTTATTTATTTCTAGGTCTGTAATACTTACTTCTAGGTCTAACGGAGAAGGAAAAGGGTCTTCTCGCTGCTCGTGAAAAGGAAAAAGGAAACGAAGCGTTCAACTCGGGAGATTTTGAAGAGGCTGTGATGTATTACACCAGGTGAGTAGCTGTTTGCTGTGGGTTGAACTTGTCAACATTTTACAAAATGATTAAGTTTTAATGGTCAAAACAATATAAATGAGCTAAATATGTCAGAATCACTTAAGGTATTATACTTGTGATGTTTCATAAATTCACTTATCTTGTTTTTTTTTTTTAATACTTTTCTCAAACCTGTAAGCTCCCACCCCACTCTTATTTTTAACAGAGGATGTAACTTTCCTATTTTATTTTATTTTTTTTAACTTTTATTTAATGAATATAAATTTCCAAAGTACAGCTTATGGATTACAATGGCTTCCCCCCCCCCCCATAACTTCCCTCCCGCCCGCAACCCTCCCCTTTCCCTCTCTCTCCCCCCTTCCATTCACATCAAGATTCATTTTCAATTCTCTTTATATACAGAAGATCAGTTTAGCATATATTAAGTAAAGATTTCAACAGTTTGCACCCACATAGAAACACAAAGTGAAAAATACTGTTTGAGTACTAGTTATAACTTTCCTATTTTACAGAGAAAGTGTAACATAAGACAGAATGAACAGATAGCACAGAGGTGTACAACTTGGTTTCTGCAGTCCAACTGTGTGGAGATAATTCTGAAACTTAACGATGCTCCTTCTCACCACAGGGACTTTGCACATGTCTACAATGCTATTGCTCATTTTCTACTACTGTTGACTTCCGTCAGTAGAGATTCTCTTGTCTGTTACAGGGAACAAAAGCTTTCTTATGTTCTGTTGAGGAATCGTATAGCTGAAGAATTCGAGCAGACTGGTGATGGTTGCAGGAGCTCAGACCTCAGCAGGGTCTCCCCTCTCCTGCCTTTGTTTCCTGCGTGTGCTGAGGCTATAAAGTGCCTACCTCAGAGCCGCTGTGAGGAGTCAGTAGAACAGTGATAAGAACCCAAGCATGCCGGTGCCGCAGCTCACTAGGCTAATCCTCCGCCTTGCGGTGCCGGGACACCGGGTTCTAGTCCCGGTCGGGGCGCTGGATTCTGTCCCGGTCGCCCCTCTTCCAGGCCAGCTCTCTGCTGTGGCCAGGGAGTGCAGTGGAGGATGGCCCAAGTGCTTGGGCCCTGCACCCCATGGGAGACCAGGATAAGTACCTGGCTCCTGCCATCGGATCAGCACGGTGCACCGGCCGCAGCACGCTGGCCGTGGCAGCCATTGGAGGGTGAACCAATGGCAAAGGAAGACCTTTCTCTCTGTCTCTCTCACTGTCCACTCTGCCTGTCAAAAAAAAAAAAAAAAAAAAAAAAAAAAAAAAAAAGAACCTAAGCGCTTGGGCCATCATCTGCTGCCTCCCACGTGCATTAGCAGGAAGCTGGAACAGAAGCAGAGGAGCTGGGACTTGGACCGGCATGCTAAAATGGGATCAGGGTATCACAAGCAGAGGTTTAACCCTCTGTGCCACAACACCTGCCTCAATTTGCTTACCTTTCACTATTTGAAAGGCAGAGAAACAGACACAGACATCTTGCATCCTCTGGTTTACTCTCCAGATGCCCACAACACATCCAGAGCTGGGCATAGGTACTCATTATTCCATGACATTCCATGACATAAAATCAACATTTTAAGCAACAGCCTAGTAGAGTGTGTGTGTGTGTGTGTGTGTACGTGTGTGTACACACACTTACTAGAAAGAGTTGCAGAGAGATGGAGAGTAAGAGAGATCTTCCTTCCACTGGTTCACTTCCCAACAGGCCTGAATGGCCACCACTGGGCCAGGCAGAAGCTAGGAGCCTGGAACTCCATTCAGGTCTCCTACATGGGTGGCAGGGGCCCAAGTACTTGGGCCAACTTCCACAGCTTTCCCAGGTGCATTGGCAGGGGGAGCAGCCGGGACACAAAATGGCACTGACAGCTTAACCCACCGTGCCACAATGCCGGCCCCCAGCCAGGTAGATTTTAAATTCTTCTCTTCATTAATTATGTTGCTTTCATGCCCTTGATCTAGCAAAATTTGCTGTCTTAACATCTGTATTCCTCATGCTATTGACTATTGTCTGACTTCAATCAGATTCCATTGATTAGATTACTGTATATCATTTCCCTACAGTTAGAATCTACTCGTATTGGCAACCTAATTGTTTCTGGTAACCCAGTACCAACTGAATAAAGCACACTGGTTTTCATTGATTGTCCCCCCACCCCTTTTTTTTTTGTTCTAAAGAATCATTCAAAAGTGTGTTTAATATTTGATATTAGCTAAGGTGGTTTTTAGGAGATCTATGAGTGTTTAAATCCCATGTCACTGCTGAAGCCTGACTTCACTTTCAGCCCATGAACTGGGCGTTTAGGCCTCGGCAGAAATGTTGACTTCGTGCCTGTAGAAGCGTGGGCAGCACGGCTGCCTTGACCAGGCACCACAAGCTGAGTGGCTCACATGGGAGATTGTGTTTTCTCCCAGCTGAGGAGGCCGCAAGCCTGAGTTCCGGGAGACAGCACTGTCGTGTTCTTCCATGGGCTCCTTCCTTAGCTTGTCTGAGGCCCTTTCTCCTGTGTCTTCGTACGTTCTCACCGTGTCCCTAAATCCTCCTCCTGTGAGAACACCAGTTGTACTGCTTTGCAGCCTGCTTGCATACCTCATGTTACCGTAATAACTTCCTTTTTTTTTTTAAAAGATTTATTTATTTACTTGAAAGAGTTACACACAGAGAGAAGGAGAGGCAGAGAGAGAGAGAGAGAAGGGTCTTCCATCTGCTGGTTCACTCCCCAGATGGCTGCAATGGCCAGAGCTGCGCCGATCCGAAGCCAGGAGCCAGGAGCTTCTTCCAGGTCTCCCACATGGGTGCAGGGACCCAAGCACTTGGGCCATCTTCCACTGCTTTCCCAGGCCATAGCAGAGAGATGGATCGGAAGAGAAGCAGCCGAGACTCGAAGCGGTGCCCATATGGGATGCCGGCACTGCAGGCGGCGGCTTTATCTGCTACACCACAGTGCCAGCCCCACCCTAATAACTTCCTGAAAATCCCTGTCTCGCAGTAGAACTACTGCCTGAGATACAGCGGGGCTGGGGCTTCAACAGAGGAGTTAGAGGGGACCCAGCTCAGCCCGGCCACGGGGGATAATTATTTCACTTACCACTTCAACTGAATTCCTCTCTGTTCTTACGTTTGCCTCAAGCCCATTGGTTGCCAATGCATGTTTCTTTTATAGGAGCATCTCAGCCCTTCCCACTGTAGCTGCCTACAACAACCGAGCGCAGGCCGGAATCAAGTTGCAGAACTGGAATAGTGCTTTTCAGGATTGTGAAAAGGTCCTGGAGTTAGAACCTGGAAACATAAAGGGTAAAATGCTCACCGAATGCTTGTAAAGTTCCAGCAGGATCCGTCCCAAACCATTTGTAGACACTTACTACACTTGCATTAAAAATGTCTCAGATAAACTTGAACTTCATACGTGAGTTCCCACCTTCATAAAGTCGCTTTTCATATTACACCTAACTTGGAGTTGGGTACCGGTCGCAGAGGGTAGGGTAGTTGCAGGAGTGAGTTTCATGGGTTCTTTTCCTCAGCTTAGTATAGAAATAAAAAGCTGGGACACAATTTGCAAAGAGGCAGAAATGTTTATTAGAAAAGGGACTTTTATTTGATTGGCAAACGGCAGGGAAAGTGTCTTGTCAGAGAGAAGAGCAGGCAGAGTGCCCGCGTGGGACACTGGGCTTTGAGGAGCTATCCTGGGTTTTTAAGGCACTACTATTTTTTTCTATTGGGTCATTTGGTGGGGGTGCCCATTGGACAGGGGTTTTACATATGTATGTTGATTGGCTTGGGGCTCATGGAGGTAGCGGGGGTCTCCTGGAGACTGTCCATCCCCTTAGGGGCTCAGCCCCCTCCTCTGCGTGTGATTTAAAGCCACAAGGTCACACATGCGGCACAGTAAGCTGTTAGTGGGGGAGATGCCAGCTGGCCTGGAGACAGGCTTTCCTGCCACCGCTGACAGCTTGCTTGTGAAGAACATTCTGCCTACATCTGAGGGGCCCACAGACTCCCAGCCTCACTGGGCGGCCTCAGAGTTTAACTCCCTAATTATTTGTACTAAGGTAGCTAACAATCCCAAGAAATGAAGTAAAATATATGTATGTGTCTTCAAAGAGAAATAGCTCATACTCTCATTTGTATTTTTTATCTAAAAACCTTAAGTATAATTTACTATCGCATTTCTGATGTTTCTGTTTTTTATTGACATATTAAAATAATAAGTCCACACTGGGACCCATGACCCTTCCCGGGTTTTTTTGTGGGCATTTCCATCTAGATGGCCATTGATATAATTTCATATTTATTTCAAATTGATAAGAAATTGTTCAATTTTAAGTTCAATTTGTCTATAGCTGATTGTGTCTTTCTACCAAAAACCTGCACTCTGTCTTGATTCCTTTCCCAGTGACTGGCTGTCTTGTCATGGTCTAAGCCTGAAGTCACATTCTGCTTCCTTTTCTCATTTCTTAATTATTCATTCATTCATTTATTTGAGAGGTGGAGCATCTGCTGGTTCACTCCACAAATACTTGCAGCAACAGGAGTTGGGGTGGGGGGTAGCGGAAAGAGTGCACAAACTCAGGAGTCGGAAATTCAAGCCATTTCCCGTGTAGGTGGCAGGAACCCAAGTACTTGAGCCATTGATGCTGCCTCCCAGTGTCTACAAAGCCAGGAGTGCTGCAATTAGGAGCAGAGCCAGGAGTTGAACCCAGGCACACCCATGTGGGATGTGGACATGCTAATCAGCATCTTTTTTTTTTTTTTAATTAAGATTTATTTTACTTACTTGAAAGGCAGAGTTACAAAGAGAGAAGGAGAGACAGAGTGAGAGATCTTGCATCTGCTGGTTCACTCCACAAATGGCTATAATGGTCAGGGCTGGGCCAGGCTGAAGCCAGGAGCCTGGAACAACTTCTGGGTTTCCCACATGGGTGGCAGGGACCCAAGCATTTGGGCCACCTTCTATCGCTTTCCCAGGTGCATTAGCAGGGAGCTGAATTGGAAGTGGAGCAGCCAGGACTCCCATGTGTTGCTGGTGTTGCAGGCTGCAGCTTAACCTGTTGCGCCACAATGCCAGCCCTTAAAATAGCATATTAAGATAGATCAGATATAAACTTCTGAATTTTCAGAATTACCAAGGCTGATCATTTACAAAATAAGGGCTTATTATACAAGTTCTCTTGTTGTGTAATGATAGGACAAGAAAGGTATTCATGGCCAGTATTAACTAATTCGATTCTTTGAAGCCTACCAAAAACATCTGATGCCAAGTGCTCAAATTCTGAACCAGCCTCGCCGACTTGGTCATCAGGTGCCCCGCGGGCCCCGTGTTAAGTAACTTCTCAGCATTGTGGATCTTGCAGTCCAGATTCCACTGATGAGTCAAGTTCTGAGAAACATTATTGTTTAGTGACGGCCTTCTGGATCCTGGGGCCTGGGGTGGGAGCTGGCGGGCTCCCGGGCTGCTAGAGTTAGAAGGGCCAGTCGCCTGAGGCAGCCTCTTCTCTCAACCTCAGTGTCATTTGCTGTGTGTGCTGCGACGTGAAGGTGGGTGTTCTTCAGCTCTGCAGAGTTACTGCCTAGGATTCTGTGCTACTTATACTCTCGACTTGCAACATATGTCACAACCACGCTAACATGTAGTAAAATATGTCACTTTCGGGGCCGACGCTATGGCTCACTTGGTTGGTCCTCCGCCTGCAGCGCCGGCATTCCATGTGGGCACCGGGTTCTGGTCCCGGTTGCTCCTCTTCTGGTCCAGCTCTCTGCTGTGGCCCAGGAGGGCAGTGGAGGATGGCCCAAGTGCTTGGGCCCTGCACCCGGATGGGAGACTGGGGAGAGGCACCTGGCTCCTGGCTTCGGATCGGCGCAGCGCCGGCTGTGGCAGTCATTTGGGGAGTGAACCAGTGGAGGGAAGACCTTTCTTTCTCTCTCTCTCTCTTACTGTCTGTAGCTCTACCTGTCAAATAAATAAACAAAATCTTTTAAAAAAATGTCACTTTCGCTTTGGTAAATTTTCAGCTCTTCTGCGCCGTGCCACCACGTATAAACACCAAAACAAGCTCCAGGAAGCTAGAGATGATCTGAATACAGTACTGGCTGTTGAACCTGACAATGATTTGGCCAAGGTAAGTACACAAAGTGACTTCTCACCTACTTCTGTAGTTGGCCATTTCTGTATTTATGTGACAATTATATCAATTGTTTTAAAAAAAGATTTGCTTGTGTATTTGAAAGGCAGAGTGACGGAGAGAGAGAGAGCTAGGGACAGAGAGAGACCATCCATCTGCTGGTTCACTCCTTTAAAGTTGCGAAGGCTGACCTTGAGTCAGGCCAAAGCCAGGAGCCAGGAACCTCCTTTGGTTCTCCCATGTGGATGGCAGGGACACAAGGACATGGGCCATCTCCCTCTGCTTGGCTCATTAGCAGGGAGCTGGATCAGAAAAGGCACAGCCGGGACTTGAACTAGCACTCTGATATGAGATGCTGGCATTGCAAATGGTGGCTTAACCTGCTGCACCACCACACCAGTCCCAAAATAGTTTTGGTCTTGCTGAGTAAGTTATGTGGAGGATTAAGTCACAGCATGTATATCCCAGGTATCCCCAAATGTTAATATTTATTTGTCCTGGAAGAATACAGGCTCTTAAAGATTGTCCCAAACTATAATCCTACCTCTGAAGGGCAAATTTTTCATTTTTCCCTTATAGCATTGTAGGTCATGCTTTCCTCTGAGCCCATCACAGTTTATTCTTCAGAGTGGTCTAGAAGTTTCCTAGGTAGGACTTGGGTGAGCTCCAGGGCCATAGCAGAGCGTTTCTGTCTACTGCTAGTACAGTCAGTGTATCGCGGATGAAAGGTGTTCTTCCTCACTGAGCAGACCGCTTGGACACACGCAGAAGGGCACCAGTAAATTAAGGCCTGAAGAGGAGAGCTAAGTGCCAAGAACTGTGAAGGGCCTGCCATTTTACCCCTGGGGAAATGAATCAGGCGGCCTGGGGCAGGCACAAAAGACTGCATTTCTCCTGGCACACCAAGCTGTGAGCTTCGTGTTCCTGGCAGGGCCCCCTGGTCCTACGCGCCTCAGGGCTGGCCCAGACTGGCTCATTTTGTTCAGTGGATTTGAGTGACAGCTGAGGAATCAGAAGTGTGGCAACTCCCATCTTTTATGATGGGCTGTAAAGAAATCTGCCCAACCTGTGCTCCAGATGAATATATGGTTACTATACTGGTGAGCTCACACTCCTCCGCAGAGAAATGCAAGTGCGGCTGCCCAAGGCTGTTCTCAGTACGAGCACCCTTCAAAACAGCCGAGAGCAAGGAGCTTTGAAATGTACTCAGAGGTGGGAGAAGCCCATGGAGACCTGCCTTCCGCATCCACCTGTTGTGTTACTTGTCAGGCTGGCATTTCAGTGGATTAAGCTTAGAGTCTGGCTTTGGAACACCTCTTTTCTCCAGAGTATTTTCTTTCTGTAACACTCTGTTATTAAAAAGTTAGTGTAGAGCCGGCGCTGTGGCTCACTTGGTTAATCCTCCGCCTGCGGCGCCGGCATCTCATATGAGTGCTGAGTTCTAGCCCCGGTTGCTCCTCTTCCAGTCTAGCTCTCAGCTGTGGCCCAGGAGGGCAGTGGAGGATGGCCCAAGTGCTTGGGCCCTGCACCCATATGGGAGACCACAAAGAAACACCTGGCTCCTGGCTTTGGATTGGCACAGCGCTGGCCGTAGCGGCCATTTGTGGAGTGAACCAACGGAAGGAAGACCTTTCTCTCTGTCTCTCTCTCACTGTCTATAACTCTGCCTGTCAAATAAATAAATTAAAAAAATATTTTAAAAAAGTTAGTGTAACAATATTCTTCTATGTATGTATGTATGTATTTATTTATTTCAGAGAAAGAGAGGGTGGAAAGAGAGAGAAATCTTTCAACCACTGGTTTTCTCCCCAGATGACCACAATATCTGAGATTGGGCCAGGCTAAATCCAGGAGCCTGAAACTCCATTCTGGTCTGTCTCGTGGGTCTCTATGGCAGGTCTCCATGGGCAGGAACTCAAGCACTTGAGCTATTATCCAGGGCTTCCCAGGCATGTTAGCAGGAAAGTAGATTGGAAGCAAGGTAGTGGAGGACTTGAACTAGCACTCTGGTATGAGAAGCAGGTATATTAAGTGGCAGCTTAACTAGAACACCAGCCCCTATGGCAATATTCTAAAGAAAAAACTTCAAACAAAGATAATCACCTTTGATTTTACTACCAAGATAATTTCATGTTTATGTATTAACCTTTAGGCCTTATCCAAATACATTTTTATCTTAACTGTATGCAAAGATTAACTTAAAGTTGATCATATACTTTAATATAAAACCTAAACTAAAAGGCTCAGAAGAAAACACAGGATAAAATCCTTATGACCTTGATTTCCTGCATAGGATATGGAAATTACAATCCATAAAAGAAACAGTAGAGGGGCGGTTCCAAGATGGCAGAGTAGGGAGGGAGCTTACTGCTCCAGGAGAAGATAGATTAAAAAAAAAAAAAGTAGAGTGTAGTCTCAAGGAAGAGTTAGGGAGAAAACAGCAGAGGAAACTCTACCAAAATTAGAGGGACACAGTAGACCTATGTGGAGGGTGTGGGCTCCCATGGCTCGGGACTCCAGCAGCCAAGAGCCTATGCACCAGCGTTGGAGACTGAAGTGAGACCAAACGGCAGCATTCCAAGCCACTGGCAGAAAAGCTTCAGGAAGAGCCTAGAGGGAACCCATCTTGGAGCCCTGTGGGGGATTGTGTACCTGCCAGACTAGAGAAGAAAAAAATACAAAAGGATGGGATGGACATGCCTCTCTCTCTCTCTGATCACTTTACAATGTCATCCTGTAACAAGCCGATAGAGCAAGCGCCATTTTGGACATACATAACAGCTGTGCCAACTCCTGTCTGTGTCCAGCAACCAGCTGAGTGGAAACTCCGGACTCCTGACTCTGGTGGGGAGAACTAACAGGGGGCCTGGGGCTTGTGACTGTGTGAGGCTTCTGTACTGCGACTGTAAAAAAAAAAAAACAAAACTGAAGGTGTGTGTGAGGACTGATGGTGTGGCTGGGACATTGGGCAGTCCCAGTGGGAGACTACAGACACTCAGGGCTTCCTGGTTACCTGCTAAGAGACATTGCTGGGGAATCTGAACTTACACTGAGGACTGAACAGATTCTTTGATCCTTGGGACAGAGCAGACGAATATTATACACACTGGGGCTAGCACTCAGGCACTGGTCTCCTTTGAGGAAAGGGCTCAGCTGAGCACAATAAATTTCCCTCCTGATGTAAAAAAAAGAGAGAAGATTTACCACACCAAACCTGAGTGTGTCACCTTAGGCACACCCTCAAACCTGGAGAACTGCACAGAGCTCCCTGGCCACACCTACTATAAGCATCTAGATATTCATTGAAAGCAGACATTCCACATATCTGCAGAGTCATAGTACAAAGATAAAAGCTATAACAGCAAAGAAAAAAAAAAGTAAAGAACCCAACAAATATCTCCAAAATGCTGAACAAATGCTGAACAACAAATGCACCAATTTAAGAATCAAGAATAAGGAAGACAACATGATGCCCCTAAAAGAACATGACACTTAAATACTAGATTGTGAAGATGATGAGAAGGAAGAAATGCAAGAAATGGAATTCGAAAAATTGATTATAAAATTACATAGAAATAATCAGAAGCAAATGCACAAACTACTGAAATACGTATAGGACATGAAAGAAAATTTCTCCCATGAAATTGAGATCTTAAAGAGAAATAAAAATGAAATGAAGAATTCAATATAATAAATAAAAAATGCGGTTGAGAGCCTTAACAACAGAATTGGTAAAAAGAAAGAATATTGGACTTAGAAGACAAAGCACAGGAAATTATACAGACAAACCAAAGACAAGAAGAGGAAATTAGAAATCTAAAAAACAATGTTGGGAATCTATAGGATACTATAAAATGACCCAACATATGGGGTCTAGGATTTCCTGAAGGCATGGAAAGAGATAAAGGATTAGAAGGCCTTTTTAGTGAAATAATAACAGAAAACTTTAGTAATTTGGAGAAAGAAAGGAACATTCAAGCACAAGAAGCACATAGAACTCCTAATAGACATGACCAGAAAAGATCTTCACCACGACACATTGTAATCAAACTAACCAGAGTAAAACATAAAGAGAAGATTCTAAAATGTGCATGAGAGAAATGCCAGATTACTTTCAGAGGATCTCCAGTCAGACTCACGGCTGACTTCTCACCAGAAACCCTATAGGTTAGGAGAGAATGGCAAGATATAGTCCAAGTCTTCAAATACCTTGGAATAAACTTAACCAAGGATTTCAAATACCTCTATGAGGAAAATATTAAAACATTAAAGAAAGAAATAGAAGAAGATACAAAAAATAGAAAAATATTCCATGTTCATGGAGTCGAAGAATCAATATCATCACAATGTCCATTCTTCTGAAAGTAATTTAGAGATTCAACATGATACCAAAAAAATACAAAAGACATTCTTCTCAGATCTAGGAAATTGATGCTGAAATTCATATGGAGCCACAAGATACACCGAATAGCTAAAACAACTTATACCACAAACATAAAGCTGGAGGCATCACATACCAGATTTCAAGATGTTTTAATCAAAACAGCCTGGTACTGGTACAAAAACAGATGGATAGACCAGTGCAACAGAATAGAAGCAGAAATCAATCCAAACATCTACATTCAGCTTATATTTGAGCAAGGAGCTAAAACCAATTCCTGGAGTAAGGCTAGTCTCTTCAATGGTACTGGGAAAACTGGATTTCCACATGCAGAAGTATGAAGCAAGACCCCCTAACTTACACTTTACACAAAAATCCACTCAACATGGATTAACAATCTAAATCTATGACCTGACATCATCAAATTATTAGAGAACATTGGGGAATCCCTGAAAGACACTGGCACAGCAAAGAGTTCTTGGAAAAGACCCCAGAGGCACAGGCATTCAAAGCCAAAATTATCAAATGGGATTACATCAATTTGAGAAGTTTCTGTACTGCAAAAGAAACAGGAAAGTGAAGAGGCAACCCAAAGAATGGGAGGAATTATTTGCAAACTGTGCAACTGATAAAGCATTAATAATCAGAATCTACAAAGAGATCAATAAACTCCACAAAAAGAAAACAAGCCACCCAGTTAAAAGATGGGCCAAGGACCTAAATAGACATTTTTCAAAAGAGGAAATCCAAATGGCCAACAGACACATGAAAACGTGTTCAGGACCACTAGCTGTCAGGGAAATGCAATTCAAAACCACAATAAGGTTTCACCTCACCCCAGGTAAAATGGCTTTCATACAGAAATCAACAAACAACAAATGCTGGCGAGGATGTTGAGAAAAAGGTACACTAATCCATTGTTGATGGCAATGTAAACTGGTAAAGCCACTATGGAAAACAGTATGGAGATACCTCAAAAATCTGAATATAGACCTACCTTATGACCCAGGCATCCCCCTTCTGGGAATTTAGCCAAGGGAAATGAATTCAGTAAATAAAAGAGCTTTCTGCACTTCAATGTTTATTGCAGCTCAATTCACAATAGCTAAGACATGGAATCAACCTAAATGCCCATCAACTGAAGACTGCATAAAGAAATTATGGGATATGTACACTATTAAGTAATACACAACAGTAAAAAAATGTGAATCCTGTTATTTGCAACAAAATGGATGAATTTGGAAAACATCATACTTAGTGAAATAAGCTAGCCCCAAAGGGACAAATGCCATATAGTCTCCCTGATCTTTGAGAACTAATAGAGCACCTAAAACTAAATCTGTAGTAGTGAAATGACACTTGGAGAAGGGGTGACTTGAGCTGCCCTTGTCTTGACTGTTGAGGAAAAGTTTCATTTTCTTTGTTTTTTTTTCATCTTTTTTCCTTCTTACTACTTGTTGAACTCTTTAGTTAACATAGAGTTAATCATATGTGTATAAAGTGAATTGAAATTAGATCTCAGTTAAAAAGAGTAGGAATAAGAGAGGGAGGAGGAAGTTAGTAACTGTGGAACTGTATAGTTCTGCATACATTCCTATGGAATTACTTCTAAGTGTAGTTTCAAAACTTGTCATGGGACTCCAAATCCCATTAAAATTGGTGGTAAAAATGCCATCTTGAGTGGTACAGTGATTATATTAAGTGTTAAAGTGAACATATAAATAGGATTAAGTGTTAAAGAGATCATATAAATAGGATCAAGTGCCCTATAATAATAATAGAAAGAATTAAAAAGGAGAGAGTGTCCAACATGGGAAGCAGTTCACACAGCAGACTCATAGAATGACAATTGCTTTAAGTAGCACTCTAACCTCAGAATTAGCCCTTAAGGCTTCCTAGTCTAGCTGAAAGGCCTGTGAGAGCATTCAGGCCTGGAAAGCCAAGACACTGTGGCAAAAAAAAAAAAAAAAAAAAAAAAAAAAGTTTTACATGAATGATCTCTATGAATGAGACCCCTGTGGAATAGAATGGCCATCAAAGAAAGATGTACTTGTCTCTAATGGGAGGAGAGAACTTCCACTTTGCTTATGGCCTTGTCCAAATACTGACAGAATTTGTGGACTCAAAAGGTTTCCATAGCCTAGGCAGCTCATTTCAAGAGCCTCCGGTGATCACTGACATCATACATAAGAATGATAATTGGTTATTTTTTTTTTTTTTGACAGGCAGAGTTAGTGAGAGAGAGAGACAGAGAGAAAGGTCTTCCTTCTGTTGGTTCATCCCCCGAATGGCCACTGTGGCTGGTGCACTGCGCTGATCTGAAGCCAGGAGCCAGGTGCTTCCTCCTGGTCTCCCATGAGGGTGCAGGGCCCAAGCACTTGGGCCATCCTCCACTGCCTTCCTGGGCTACAGCAGAGAGCTGGACTGGAAGAGGAGCAACCGGGACAGAACCGGCGGCTCTAACTGGGACTAGAACCTGGGGTACCGGCGCCGCAGACGGAGGATTAGCCTAGTGAGCCATGGTGCTGGCCAAAGAGTGTTAATTGTTAACAGCAAGAATCACTGTGCACTAACTCCCCATGCAGTACCTCTGTCCTCAATGAGTTATACTGAGAGTTAACTGTAAAACCTGTTCTCAAACAGTTTTGTGTGTGTGAAAGTGTGTGTACAAATTGTTAAAATCTTTACTTAGCATAGAGTTGGTCTTCTGGGTACAAGATTAATTGAAAATGAATCTCAATGGAGAATGGGACTGGCAAGGGGAGAGGGAGGAGGAGATGGGGTGGGAGTATGGGTGGCAGGGCTGATATGGTGGGAAGAATAATTGCGTTTCTAAAGTTGTACTTATGAAATTTGTGTTCCTTAAAAAATAAAAACAAAAATGAAATAGTAGACAAGTTGGGCTTCACAAGCTTAAAATGTCTCTCTGTGAAAGACATTGTTGAAGAATGGAAAGATAAATCATTTTTTTAAGAAAGAGTTTATGTATTTACTTGAGAGGCAGAGTTGCAGAGAAAAGGAGACACAGAGAGGGAGTTCTTCCATCTGCTGGTTCACCTGCCAAATGACTGTAACGGCTAAGCTGAGCCAATCTGAAGCCAGGAGCCAGGCGCTTCTTCTGGGTCTGCCATGCTGGTGCAGGGACCCAAGCACTAGAGCCATCTTTGACTGCTTTCCCATGCCACAGCAGAGAGCTGGATCAGAAGAGGAGCAGCTGGGGCTAGAAATGGCACCCATATGGGATACTGGTGCCACAGGCATTGGCTTAGCCCACTGCGCCACTGCTCTGGCCCCAGTAACATTTATTTTTGTACTCTGTATCTGTTATCTCAAATCAGGGAAAACATATAATAATTGTCTTTTGGGAACTGCCTTATTTCACTAAGCATAATGGTCTTCAGTTCCATCTATTTTGTTGCAAAAGACAGGATTTCATTAATTTTTATGGCTGAGTAGTAGTCCACTGTGTTTATACCACATTTTCTTTATCTGGTCAACAGTTGATGGATATCTGGTTGGATTCCATATCTTAGCTATTATGAATTTTAGCCTTTGTTTATACTCTTAAGGAACAGTGGTTCTTCTACTTACTACTTGTTGAACACTTTATTTAGTGGAGTGCTGAACTTGTGATTAGAAAGTAAATTGAAAGTATTTCATTGTAAAAGTTAAAAGTAAAATAAGTAAAGAAGGAGAAGAATGGGAGGGAGGGAGGGTAGGGTATGGAGTATCATTATGCTCTTAAAACTATACATATGAAACATATGAAATTTGTTCCCCTTATGTAAATTTTTTAAAAAGTAAAAACAAAACAATAGAAAAAAAAGGCCAGGGGAGGAGAGTGGCTGTTGGCCTTAGTAAGGTCTTTAGAGTGAAACAATGCATGCTTTTCATACAACTAGGAAAAAAGCTGTACCTAGGACTTCAGTACAGTTTGTCAAAAAATAAAGTAGTTCAGAGATGTGCATAATAAAGAGGAAATTACAGAGTGGAAGAAAATATTTTGAAATCATGTATCCAACCAAGAATTTGTATCAAGAATATAGAGGACTCTCAGAATTCAATCATGAGAAAATAAATGGCTAAATAAAAAGTAAGCCAAATATTTTACCTGACAGTGTATCAAAAGAGACGTGTGCATGGAAAATATGCATCTGAAAAGCAGCTTAATATTGTTAGTCATTAGGGAAATGTCAATTTAAAGCCACAGTGAGATGCCACTATGAGCGGGCTGAGCCTGCGAGGTGATGAGGATGTGCAGGTACTGCCGCTGTTGAGAGTGCACAATGACACTGTCACGGGCATAAGATCTCAACTTCTTTTCCAGGTTCTTGCCCCACAAAGATAAGAATGCAAAACAGGGCCATAAATACCATGCACAAGTGAGAGCAGTATTTACTTAAAAATGAGAGAGTGAATATACATTCACAAGAGAATGTGGGCCACCCCACACTGTGGCCCAGCCCTGGCCATTGTGGCCATTTGGGGAGTGAACCAGTAGATAGATTTCACCTCTCCTTTTCTCTTTGTGGCACTTGGCCTTCCAGATAAATAAAAATAAAATCTTAGGAAAAAATATCCATCAACGTGTACACTGTATGTACATGAGGCTTGTATCAATTATATTCTCAACAAAGCTGTTAAAAATGAGATGGTGAAGGAGAATGGTTTGATAGGTACATTTTTCATTCTACTTGGCATAAACTATTGAAGAACTTTCAACATTACTCTAAACAGCATGGGCATCGTGATTTCATTTGTATAAAACTACCTCTTTGTGTGCCTCAGTGCAAAGAAACATATCCTTAGAATGTCCATAGTGATATCTGAGTGGCAGGAGTTTAAGTGACTTTTTAATTACATTTTCATGCTTGTTATTCTAACTTTTTTTTTTTACAGTGGGCATATATGATTATAATCAGAGAAAGGAGTCAAGTTGTTCTGGTAAAGAAATAAAGACTTGACACCAAAAGAAGCCTTATCTTAGTTATCTTGATTTGTTTTTAAATATCTTCATATTCTTTCCTACAAAAAAAGGTTGTATTTTTTTTTATTAAAGGAAAATATTTTCCTTAACTATGTTGCAGAAAACCTTGTCAGAAGTTGAAAGAGATCTGAAAAATTCTGAACCTGCACTTAAGACCCAAAGCAAAGGGAAAAGGATGGTCATCCAGGAAGTAGAGACCTCGGAAGATGAAGACAGAGAGGAGAGCGCAAGGCCCCGCGTGGACGGCAGTGCAGCTGAGGGTAACACGTCTTTTCTATTTTGGTTCTGCAGAAAACTTCCTGTGTATCACATGAGCTGGCTTGACTGTTCTGTGTGTTCAGAAATTCTTAGTCTACCAGGTTTTTTCTAGCTTTGCCTCGTAAATCTATAAATAAGTTTGGCTCATCTACTTCTTAATATGCTCTCCCAAGTCCATTTTTCTTCTAAGTCTGGCATCTATTTCTAGTCCCAATTTAATTCCTGATTATCACCCTTTAACATAAGTGGCTATGACTCAGTGACACCAACAATTTGCAAGTCAACCTTAACCTTCTCTCTTAGATGAGTGCATTTGTCCACTTGGTTTGCACATAAATGTGCTGCCGTCAGGCCTGGCGGTAGCCCCATTTATGGACATTCATAAAAAAGTACGTTATTGGAAAATGGTTATACATGTTTCTCAAAACAATTCTTTTAAAAAATACCAAATAAATAAATATAGTTTCACTTTTGAAAAATAATTGAGATTAGGTAAAGCTTCATCTTCGTAGCATAATAGAGTGAAAGTTACTTCAGTTTTGGGGGGAAATTTTGTGCACTTGCTTCACCAGGATCATAAAAAAAATTGTCCCCACTTCTTGAGAATGTGTGAGCAGCCAAGGGGAGAGTATCAGCTTTGAAAATCATTCATGAGTAAAATTCCATAAGTAACTTGACAGAATATTTTAATTTTCAGAGAGAAACATAAAATGTTCCATTCACTGAATTTGAACAAAATATAGAATAAGAAGTATATGAGTTTATTTTGTTCAGTAAATAAAGCATAATCTAAAGTGTCCATATCAGATGAAAATATGATCAATTAAGGTGGGATACAAATGAAGGGACAGAAAAGGAGAGAGAGAGAAAGACGAAGCTACAGAGAGTAGGAGACAGCTGGGAAAAGAAGAGAGATCAAAAAGTGAGAAATTAGAGTAAACAGTCTTTCAAGGACTGAAGCACCCCTTTCAGCTAGAAACAAGCAGCAAATGTTCTTAGGGTTTATATGTCATGTAAGATAATTAGCAGGTGTCTTAGAGTTAAAGGAAATAATTTGCAATCTTTTTTTACAGTTTTAAACTTCATACATTTCATAATTACAACTTTAGGAACATGGTAATACTTCCCAATGTGTCTGCCCTCCCATCCACACTCCTACCCCACATCCTCCTCCCTCTCTTATTCCTACTCTTACTTTTTTTTTTTTTACTAAGATCTATTTTAAATGAACTTTATACACATGTAATTAACTTTATGTTAAGTAAAAAGTTCAAAAAAATAGTATGAAAAAAAAAACCTGTTCCTCAACAGTTAAGACAAGAACTGTTCAAAATCATTATTTCTCCAAGTGTAGATTTTACTTATACAAATTGCCTTTTAGGTATTCTATTAGTTATCACAGGCAAGAACATATGGTATTTGTCCCTTTGGGACTGGCTTATTTCACTAAGTATGATGTTTTCCAGTTTCATCCATTTTGTTGCAAATGACAAGATTTCATTTCCTTCTTTTTTATTGCTATGTAGTATTCCATGGTGTATGTATCCCATAATTTCTTTATCCAGTCTTCAGTTGATGGGCATATGGGTTGATTCCATGTCTTAGCTATTGTGAATTGAGCTGCAATAAACATGGGAGTACAGATAACACTTTCATATGCTGATTTAATTTTCTTTGGGTAAATTCCCAGGAGTGGGATTGTTGGGTCATATGGTAGGTCTATGTTCAGACCTCTGAGGTATCTCCATACTGTCTTCCATAGTGGCTTTACCAGCTTATATTCACACTGCATTAGGAAATCTTTTTCCTCACATACTTACCAGCATTTGTTGTTTGTTGATTTCTGTATGAAAGCCATTCTAACAGAGGTGAGGTGAAACCTCATGTGGTTTTGATTTGCATTTCCCTGACAGCTAGTGGTCCTGAACATGTTTTCATGTGTCTGTTGGCCATTTGGATTTCCTTTTGAAAAGTGTCTGTTTAAGTCCTCTGTCCATTTCTTCACTGGGTTGTTTATTTTGTTGTTGTAAAGTTTCTGGATCTCTTTATATATTCTGGTTATTGATCCTTTATCAGTTACATAGTTTTCAAATAATTTCCTCATCTATGGGTTGCCTCTTCACTTTGCTGAGTGCTACTTTTGCAGTGCAGAACCTTCTCAATTTGCTGTAATCCCATTTGTTGATTTTGGCCTTGATTGACTGTACATCTGGGATCTTTTCCAAGAACCCTGCCTTGTCAATGCCTTGCAGGGTTTCCCCAAATTTCTCTAATAATTTGATGATATTGGGTCATAGCTTTAGGTCTTTGATCCATTTTGGTGGATTTTTGTGTAAGATGTAAGTTGGGGTCTTGCTTCCCAGTTCTGTGTATGGAGATCCAGTTTTCCCAGCACCATCTGTTGAAGAGACTGCCCTTGCTCCAGGGATTTGGTTTTAGCTCCTTGGTCAAAGATAAGATGGTTGTAGATGCATAGGTTGATTTCTGGCATTTCTATTCTGTTCCATTGGTCTATCCATCTGTTTTTGTATGAGTACTAGGCTGTTTTGATTATAACCTCCCTGTAGTATGTCTTGAAATCTGGTATTGTGATACCTTTAGCTTTGTTTTTGTTATATAAGATTGTTTTAGTTATTCAGGGTCTCCTATTTCCATATGAATTTCAGCATCATTTTTTCTATATCTGAGAAGAATTTCCTTGGTATTTTTATTGGTATTGCATTGAATCTCTAAATTGCTTTCAGAAGAATGGACATTTTGATGATATTGATTCTTACAATCTATGAACATGGAAGGTTTTTCCATTTTTTATACCTTCTTATATTTCTTTCTTTAATGCTTTGTAATTGCAATCATAGAGATATTTGATGTCCTTGGTTAAATTTATTCCAATGTATTTGATTTTTTTGTAGCTATTGTGAATGAATTGATTGTAGAAGTTCTTTTTCAGCCATGGCATTGTCTGTGTATACAGGGGTTGTTGATTTTAACATGTTGATTTTATATCCTGCTACTTTACCAAACTCTTCTATGAGTTCCAATACTCTTTTAGTGAAGTCTTTTGGATCCCCTATTTATAGAATCATGTCATCAGCAAATAGGAATAGTGACTTCCTCCTTCCCCATTTGTAACCCTTGGATTTCTTTTTCTTGTCTAATAGCTCTGGCTAAAACTTCCAGGATTATATTGAATAGCAGTGGTGAGAGTGGGCATCCTTGTCTATTTCTGGATCTCAGTGGGAATGGTTTCAGCTTTTCCCCATTCAATATCATGTTGGCTGGGGGTTTGTCATAACTTGTCTTGATTGTTTTGACGAATGTTCCTTCTATACTCAATTTGTTTAAAGTTTTCATAATGAAAGGATGTTGTATTTTATCAATGCTTTCTCTAAATCTATTGAGATAATCACATGGTTTTTGTTCAGCAGTTTGTTAATGTGATGTATCACATTGATTGTTTTTTGAATATTGAATCATCCCTGCATACCAGGGATAAATCACACTTGGTCCAGGTGAATGATCTGTCTGATGTGTTGTTAGATTCGAATGGCTAGAATTTTTTTTGAGGATTTTTGCATCTGTGTTCATCAGGGAAATTGGTCTGTAGTTTTCTTTCTCTGTTTTACCTTTTTCAGGTTTAAGAATTAAGGTGATGCTGGCTTCATAGAAGGAGTGTGGGAGGATTCTGTCCCTTTCAATTGCTTTGAATAGCTTGAAAAGAATTCAAGTTAGTTTTTTTAAAGATTTATTTATTTATTTGAAAGTCAGAGTTACACAGAGAGAGAAGCAGAGGCAGAGAGACAGAGAGAGGTCTTTCATCCACTGGTTTACTCTCCAATTGGCCACAATGGCAGTTCTTATTTAAATGTCTGATAAAACTCAGTAGTGAAGCCATCTGGTCCTTGACTTTTGTTTGTTGGGAGGGTCTTTATTACTGATTCAATTTCTGTCTTGGGTATTGGTCTGGTTAGGTTTTCTGTGTTTTCATGGCTCAATTTAGGTTGGTTATATGTGTTCAGGAATCTATCCATTTCTTTTAGGTTTCCTGGTTTGTTCGCATACAGCTCTTTGTAATAATCTCTGATGATTCTTTGTGTTTCTGTGGTTTCTGTTGTTACATTTACTTTTTCATCTCTAATTTTTCTGATTTGGGTCTTCTCCCTTTTTTTTCAGTTATTTGGGTCAATGCTGTGTCAATTTTGTTTATTTTTTCAAAAAACCAGCTCTTCATTTTGCTAATTCTGTTTTTTTTTTGTTTTAATTTTGTTTACTCTATAATTTTAATGATTTCTTTTCTCTTACTAGTTTTGGGTTTGATTTGCTGTTATTTTCTAGGTCCTTGAGAGGAACTGATAGCTCATTTATTTGATGGCTTTCCAATTTCTTGATGTAGGCACCAATATCTATAAACTTTCCTTTTGACACTGTTTTTGTTGTATCCCATAAGTTTTGATATGATATATTATCTTCATTTATTTAGATTTTTAAAAATTTGTCTTTTGATTTCTTCTATAACCCACTGTTCATTCAGAAGCATGTTTTTCAGTCTCCATGTATTTGCATATTTTCTAGAGATTCTTGAGTTGTTGATTTCCAATTTCATTCCATTGTGGTCAGAGAAGATGCATGGTATGTTTTTGATTTTTTTTGAATTTGCTGAGACTTGCTTTTGCCTAGCATGTGGTCTATCTTAGAGAAAGTTCTATGCACTAGTGAGAAGAATGTGTATTCTGCAACTGTACATTGGAAAGTTCTGTACATATCTGTTAGGTTCATTTGGTCTATAGTGTTGATTAACTCTGCTGTTTCCTTGCTGATTTTATGTCTTGTTGATCTTTCCACTGCTGAAAGTAGAGTATTGAAATCCCCATTACTATTGTATTGGAGTGTATGTATCCCTTTAGATACATTAACTATCTTATAAATAGCCGGGTCCCCTATAATTAGGTGCATATACGTTTATTATAGTCACATCTTTCTGTTGAATTGATCTCTTACTCAT